AGTAAGTGGACCTATCAAGACGCTGATGGGGTATATAGGTGACCTACTTGGGACGCCAGTAGGGTATTTTGTGAAATCCTTTGAATTATGCACTGCCGTTAAAAGTGTTATAAGCATTTCAATTACTCGGATTATACTTAATTATGCATTTATTGAAAGTGAAGCTGTTGATGCATTTCTGTTAATAGATCTCATTTTGGAAAATATTGATATCTTTCAATCATGATTATTTTTAGGATTATGATGATCACTTACTGAGTAGCCAAACTCATCAAACTATGGTACACATTTTTTTCAGGATAACTGCGGATTCATTTTGAGTGCTAGTCAAGATCAACCTTGGAAGATACTGTTGTTGTGCTAGTTTTCTTTATTTACTTTGTAAGACCTCGCCACTGTAAATTTGTCCTATCAATAGATGTATATATGTTTTGTCTGTCACATCTCAGGAATAACAGTTGTAAGTTCTTGGGGTGTGACATTCAGCAACCAGGTCCGTGTTTCAAAATGGGTCAAATCTTTGAAGGCCTTCATGTAACACCAGAGCCTCCGCATTTATAGATTCCGATGAGCCAATTGGTGAGGAGTATGAAAGGAGGGTTGAGCCTTCGAAGTTTCTCTAAATCCCTCCAATGCCGGAGAGGCCAGGGTTGTCAAGGGAGCAACCATCAAAGTTAAAGTTTAGGTGCCCAACTTAAGGTGGCCGCCACAGAGAAGAACGAGATATCCTTTGGGCCTTGAGGTTCAAAAGATTGTGCCAGTTGTGGAAGAGGTCAGTGAAGGAGAAACTTCTGAGGGTGTCGTTGTTCTTGGTCCAAAATGACACAAGGGTACGAACTTTGTCAAGCATGGTGGGAATGGAGGCCTTCTCCCCCTTGAAAATACGACTATTCCTTTTGAGCCATATGGTCCATAAGATGGCTCCAATCGATGCTCTCCATAGGAGATATCCAGAATTAGTCCAAGGGGTGCAGAGGTAGGATGAAAAAAGTTCGGGAATGGACTGAGGGGTAACCCAGGTCCAATTAAAGAGATGTACATTGGACCAAAGAGCAAAAGCAGCATCACAGTGAATGAATAGATGAGTGTTGGTCTCTTCGGCCTTCAAACACAATGCACATCTATTGGGTAGGAGAATTCATCTCCTATGAAGATGGTCTAGGGTGAGGGCTCTTTTATGAAGGGTGATCCAATTAAAGAATTGGATCTTCGGTGAAATTGCCGGGAGCCACGCTTTGGCAGCAATGGAGGGAGAGTTGATAAAAGGAGGCTACAGAGAAAAGCTCGAAAGCATTGGGGATCCATATGATCTTGTCCTCCCAAGACAGCGGGATGAAGATTTGTGCTAGGGCAGATGACAAAACCAAGAAGGCACTAATCTCGTCCTCGGTGAGAGGTCTTCTGAAATTTGGGTTCCACGATCTCGAGGACCCAAGAGTAGCAAAGTTGTTTGCTACTGTAGCTAGGGGATCAACTGCAATTCTGAAGAGAGAATGGAATTGGTCCTTTAGAAGATCACTATAGTTGGAAGCATGGTCCATACAATGCATATGCTAGGGATCGAGATCCCCAAATGTTAGGGATCTGATGACATTCTGGGGATCTTGATCCCAACCTCTTGGGATCTTGATACCACCCTTTTGGGATCTTACTCCCAAGCTTAAAGAGTATATATATATATATATATATATATAGGAGTAATATGTACTTCTTAAAGTAGGCTTTATTTATAGCCAACAAGAATTGGATAACATTAAAAGTATAATTCCATTTCTAGTTGGCAATTAATAAAATCATCAGTTTGGTCATTAACTTGGTCTTTAAGGTGGGGATCGAGATTCCTAATAGTACAAAATCAAGATCCCCAATAGAGCGAATCAAGATCCCATGAAAATCCTTTCTCGAAGCATCAGAGTGAGATTCTCGAGCAGGATCGCTACCTAGGATGGAAGATCTTGGCATCTATGAAAGATGTGTGATATGGTTGTGAGGAGCCCCTGTTTGTGTAGAGCTCCAAAGGATTGTGAAACTAATAAACTATGCCAGTTACTAGGTTTGCTTGAGTCAACTTGTATACCAAGGTTCAAGACTAACATACATTTTTGATACTATGACACTGATTGGTATATTCTCAGTGAGGTCTTTCGCCATGCATATTCCACCCCTTCCCACCCCAAATGCAAAAACAAAAATTGTATTTTTTGGATGGTGAATGGCCTGTGACAAGCCCTTCACTGGCAACATAGAGAGGTGAAGTTCCCTAATATTTGCCTCATGTGCTATGTCACCGAAGAGATTGTTAACCATCTCTCACTTCATTGTTCTCTTGCTTCCTCCTTTTGGGCCCACTTCCTTGCTCCACTTGATCTTGCTTAGGCCCCATCTCAGAGGTGTTACAGAGGGTCTTGCTAGTTGGCATTATTGTCCCTTCTCCAAGAAAAGGAAGACTCTATGTCTAATGTCTATATCCATTTCTGGGGCATTGGGCTTGGGAGAAATCAGAGAGTCTTTGGAGGTAGATACTCAAGACCTAAGATATTGGATAAAAGGGTGAGAGACTCCATCATTGTTTGGATCGTTGTCCAAAACGATTTTTCTGGATATAAGACCATGTATCTGGTTCAAAAGGGGAAAGTGATGGCCTCTAGATTTGTTTCTAAGGATCCCACTCATGCCTCACGGAAGTGCCTCTTGACTGAGTTCTGGAACACAATTTTGATGGAAGCTCCATTGGTAAACCTGGCCAATATGGACAGGGAGGCATGATTAAGAAACATGAGAGCACTATCTTACTTGCCTATGCAGGTCAATTACATGTCTGTGATGCCAACAAGAACAGATGGATGCTCTCCTAACCGTCTCAGAATCTATTTTCTGCAATTCCCAGCCCCCCTTGTGAGTAAAAGTGCTGGGAGAGAAGGAGATTTACGATGGAAGCTTGCAGATCACATTGAAGAGAGCATAAAGCTATGCACCATTAGATAGGTCACCCTCTCCCATGTTCCTAGGGCTGCTAATGATCTAGTTGACTATTTGACACAGCTGGGAACTCATAGACTGGATCTCTTTGTGGGGTCATCGCCTGATCACTCCCCCCCTCTATTTCTCCTCAGTCCTCACCCCTAACCTCATCTCTCTCCCTCCTCACTGTACACTACTGTGTCTGCTTTAAGTAGGAGCAACTAAATGAAGACAGTTTCTTACATATCCTAATGTTAATGTTAAAAAGAAAAAAGAAAGAAAGAAAATATTCTTATTTTAGATGACAATTTTTGCAGCTGTAATAAGAATATTTTCTTTGGGTAAATATAATAAGAAGATTTTAGGATAAACAAGTTGAGAGCAGGGCAAGTACCATATATGGAAATTGTAGAAGAATTACTATCAACCTAAAGGGCTACCAATTTGCCTTGGTGATCAAAGAAGAAATTGCCGGATCTAACCGTGACCAGAAGTTGGAGTGGCGGATTAACATTGTCCATCCTCTAAGTGGATGCATCAATCTTATTAAATCTTATGTAATCTATATACATGTCTCTTACATATCTCTGAGCCAAATACCTTACAGATCTATATTACGTCCATCATCTAATTCTTGTCTGGTACTTATTATTGGACACCTACAACATAGTAGCATGATTTAACCCAGTGTTGGTCCCGATGGGAGGAAGCAAGAGGAATCAAAGGACTAAATCTTGGCAAATGAAAATATAGCTGGCCCAAGAAGAGCTCAATGCCAGTGGTCAATCTTTTTAGCTGCCATGTGGTGGATTTGGAGGAAAGAGAAAATTGAGTTTTCCACAACGTTACCTCCAACACAATATGAACTTATCGCTTAGAAAGATAAAAGACCAAAAGAGCAGAGCACAAAAATGAAGATCTCAAACTCTAGTAACATGCATACAAGACATCAGAAAATAAGAAACCAAGATAGAAAATCATTTCTGTGGTGTCATCCGAATGAATTTTCATGGACTTGTCATTTAGATGGTGCAATGAAACCGCATCATTTAAATTCAACTTTTCACACTGTAATTCACAATAATAGGAGGCATAATGAGGAAAACCAATTAATTTGAAATTAGGAATTGCTTTGGAGAAATATGGCACTAATTGAAGAGCTCAACTTTTTTTCATGGTTAAGTTCAAAGACCTAAACTTTCAATCAATATTGAAATCCATAACGATTTGAAAGAAAAAGGTAAACCAAATATCACTTAAATGGAAATTTGCCATGACTCAAAGGATAGTGATCATCCACGAATCAAAGGGGAGAGGGCGGAGAGAGAGACTCACATGAAGGCGCGAACAAAGGACTTCCCCTTCCCATCTCCACAAACAACAATCCGCTGGCCATCAGGCGACCACTCCAGGTCATCAATCCTCCCCGATAAGACCCTGAACTCATTCTTCAACACATGATCAGGGGGGTGGCGACCCCAAATTCTCACAGTTCCTGAAACATCAGCAGAGGCTACCCATTCACCATTGGGTGAGAATCGCGCAACTGTTGCCTGGTATGCATGTTCGCCATAAACTAGGGCTTGAAGAGGGTTGTCAAGGCTCCGAATTATCACTGATCGGCCATTACAGTAAGCAATGGAGTTTGTCTTTGTATCCCCTGCAATCAGGATTCCTCGACCACGCTCAGTCGAGGGCACGCAGGCGTAGGTTTCACTCAGCTTTGCCATGGTCTCTCTCTATGGCTCTCTCTCTCTATGTGATGTCTATATTGCCTCTCTCTCTAGGAGGGTAGCTTCTCTGATAATTCTTCAGGTGATGGACTGTGATTTAGAAGGGATCAACTCTCTCTCTCCTCTTTCTCTCTCTAAAATGGTGATGGAGTGTGGTTTAGAAGGATCAACTCTCTCTCCTCTTTCTCTCTCTAAAATGGTTGATGTAGTTATGTTCAGGTTCTCTTGCCTATTTTTCAGCTGACTTCCTCTTGCCAGGCTTCTTACCTGCAATACAAAGTAACAAACAATAATAATTGACGTCTACATATTTCGCGCTCCCGCGGGAGCATTTTACCCGTTTTGCCCCGTGTAAAACCGGAACTTTTTGAGGCTCCGGTATTTGGGAACGTCGCTTCATCGCGGCGACTATCCTCAAACGCGTGTTTGTTTTTGGCACTCCCTATTTGATAAATAAATTATTAATTATATAAGGTTGTAATTTTTTTTTTTAATTTAAAAAGTTACTTTTATATATGGAAAAAGTTTATATAAGGTTGCAATCTTAAAATGTAGAATTAAAGGTGCCCCTCAAAAATCCATTAAAAAAGATTGTTTTAATATTGA